CTTAGCCGGGTGTGGTGGCATGCGCCTGTAGTCCCTACTCAGGAGCTACTCTGTAGCTACTCAGGAGGCTGAGGCAGGAGAATCACTTGAACCCGGGAGACGGAGGTTGCAGTGAGCCGAGATCATGCCACAGCACTCCCAAGACTCCGTCTCAAAAAAAAAAAAAAAAAAACAACAGGGAGCAGTTTGGCCTCACCAGTTTTAGGTGTGAGACGAGCCATGGTGAGAGATGAGGCTGGAGCAGTGGGTAGGAGCCGATGCTGGTTTTTATCCAGGTAAAGACGGGTCCCAGGAGTAGGGTGACAAATCAGAGCAGCAACTTAGGGACAGCCTGGCAAACTGGGATGGGGATGTGGAGAGAGGAAGGCCGGGGACAGGAGGATGCCCAGTCAGTGGGTGGCCGTGGCTGCAATGGGCAGGGGAGGCGGGGGTGAGTGGGGAACGGAGGACTCGAGGCAGCTGTGCGAGGGGCGCTGAGGATGACTCTGGGTTGGAGGCGACGGACATCTCTTGCTGGCGTGGTGGCCACACAGGAGGGGCAGGTGGCCAGACGCCCTCTCCATTTAATGGGGTTCCCTGTTAATCCACCATAGGGTGGACGACCAGGGCCCAGGGCCTTACAGCACTTGTAGGATTAGGATTCACATCACCACCTGCCGAGGGGCAACCACCGGCCCCTAGCAACCATCCCATTGCCTTCAGCACCCAAGGGTGGGGCTCTCCACATATTTCCTTGTCCCCTTGAGAGGGGAGACCCCCTAGCTTCCTTCAATTTCATCTCCTCCCTCCCCCACTTCCAGATGGGAAGGAGGGTGAAGAAGAAAAAAATAAAATAAAATACCAAAGAGCTGGAAAAATGACTCCCTCTTTAGTTCCCAGCGTCTCTGCTATCTGTTAACCTTGAAAGAGCTGCAAATGAATGCTATCCCCTCCGGCTGGGGCCCGGCACTGGGTCACGCCCCCACTTCTCCACGGACCAGGCTCCCTCCTGGAAACACCTCTGCCAACAAACAGCCTGTTGCTTTTGCCGTGTCTCTGTAAGCCCCCTTCCCTGCTGGTCCCCGCTCACACTGCATGTAAACTAGCAAATCAATGAAGCCAAAAGATTGTAAGGTCGAACGTCCAACAAACGGACAATGACATAGTTCTGCCTCAGTTTCCCCTTTATTGTTGTAAGTCTATAAAAGGGAAGAGAAGCTGCAGCTCAGAGAGCTCGGTGAATGAGGCTGTAGCCCCCCGCAGCTCCTGGCTGAATAAAACGCCACTTCCGTCTTCTTCAATGTTCGAGAGGTTTGTTCCCCACCGCTCCTGCTTCACCGTCCCTATGGGGGCCCCTACAGCATGTAGACTGAGGGCTGATGGGCAGCCTGAGCAGGACCGTCTCAGAGGGACTCCCAGGGCTATTCCAGGGACCCTATGCTGGGACCCAGGGACCCTGGGGAGTCCTTGAGGACACACCTAGCATTCCCTTTGACCAGAAGCAAATTTCCCTGGATCAGGAAACTCAACAGCCTGCCCAACAGTTGGGGTTCCCAAGCCTCAAAGTGTCCCTATGCCAGGGTCCCTCAAGCTCTGGGGATGCAGGTGGAGCCACATGCAGTAAGGTCAGGAACTGGTGCATCCAGGCATCAACTGCCCGGGATAGACTTGCACAGGCAGCCTCAGGGCTCCTGTCTGATGCCTAATGCGGGGGGGAGGGGGGTTCTTGGGGCCTGGGAGGGGGACAAAAAGGACAGGGTGCTCTCAGGGGCCAGGTGGCAGCTGCTCGCCTGCCAGACAGCAATCAAGCATTCGCTGCTTTGACTACGACCCACATCCGGTGGTGACGACAAGCTTCATCTCCCAACATACACACACGGCACAGGGGTCACTCATCTCCGTCCCATCTGTGTGCCATCCCCACAGCCCCTCAAATCGTGCCTCAGGTGTGCATTCCCGCTGGGAAACCTGCTTAGTGAGCCAGGCACCCACTTCTTCTCTGTCTCAGGCTGACCCCTAGGGGACAATTAAGACACAGCAGGGTGCCGAGGGCAGGCCTGAGACATTCAGACCTGCACAGCTCGGCCCACTCTCTGTGGTCTTGACCCTGCTATGACAGGAGCCTGAGCCAGGAAGGGGACTCACTCACCACCCGTCACTGCAGAAGCTGTCCGTCCCGCAGGCTGGCCTTTGGACGGTGCCCCTGCCTCCTCCTCCCAACAAGCAGGAGCCCATCGTAGGGAACGGAGCCCAGATCAACCAAGTGGCTCCAGTGAATGTAACGAACAAGGCTGTCACTGTGTCCCCCACCACCGCCATCTCACTAGGCTCTGGCCAACCAAGCCGGGCCAGACCTCCATGGAGGGCAGAAAAAAGTTCACCCATGAGACGCTTAAAATCCAAAGCAACGAACACCTATAGGATCGCAAAGTCCCAAGAAGAAATGAGGAGAAGCACCAGGCTTGCTGAGATAGGCTGTCGTGGTCTTTCTTTCTGCTTTCCTGTAACCTCTAGACTTTGGAGGAAAACAGTATCAGTTTACAAAAAAGAGTACCTGGGTGGAATCCAGCTCTTCCACATCCCCTGCTCACCTTTTCTCCACGTGCCATCTTTTCCGGGGGCGTGGATGGCAGAACATGGGAGGTCTCAAAAGCAGCCAAAGACTACAGGGAACAGGCCATCCCCCCCAGCCCCCACCCCACGCCTGAGCTCCACTCTACCCTCCAGTTACCGGGGTAGGGCTTTACTTTGACATAATTTTGCAACACCAGCATCCAAGGGTAAACGGAAAAATGCACACGGTAACTTCAGCACCATTTTCTTAACATGCATCTCCAAGACAGCAGCAGGCAGTGAGGAATTCGCACGTATCAGGGGTCTGTTAGTTCCCACTGAACTTTCACAGCAGACCCTCCAGACTGGAACGGCAGGCCCTGTTTTACAGCTGAGGACATGGAGGCTCAGAGGGGTTTAGAGGAACGTGCCCGGGTTGCGTGGCCTGTCCTGGGTGGCCCACGTGGGTACGGACCCAGTCCTGCACACCTCTGCACCCTGCTTCCTGCTTAGCAATCCAGGAAGAGGCCCCTCCACAGATGGGGCACTCAGTATTTGTCCCATGGTGGGGGTCCTCTGCCCTAATCCCGGTTCCATTAGCTGGCTCCAAACACATATTCAACCCCCGCGTGCTGGACCCATGAAGACAGACCTGGAGCCATCACTGCTGGCGTGGGCACAGGCCTGGAGCCATCACTGCTGGCATGGGCACGGGCCTGGAGCCTGGTATCTTCAGGCATCCCTGCAGGCTCTTGCTCTGAGCACAGCAGCCTGAGGTCCAGCCACCTGACCCCCAGCCTGAGGGCCCCGGCCCTCAGTTGGTGCCTGGCTTTGGTCTCTGCCACCATGGAGTCCTTAGCACTGTGTCCCTCTCTATGGACTGTCCTTCCTCCAGTCCGGCCCAGGGAACCCAACCCTGACCCCATGACCCAGCTGGATTCCAAGAGGCCCACCGTCGGCCAAAGCGGCCTCTGGGTCCTGGATCTCCCTCAGCTATAAACATGCTCACGCTCTGGGGTCCGGATGAGGCACCCATCAGAGCTAGAGAAAAGGTTAGGGGGTTAGACTAGATGAGAAGTCCAAATCACCCTCTTCTAGTTCTGGGTGTTGCCACCAGGAGGGACCTCGGCGGGTGTCAACTGTGCACCTTAAACTGTTTCTCTGCAGGATGAAGTGACACTGTTTGGAAAACTAGCTCAAAGTTTTATAAGAAACACCCGCTAGGCAATGACAACAGTAAAAGAGAGGTCTTTGTCCCGCTTCCTGGTACAGAGCTTCAGGATGGGGCTGGTCACCAGAAAGACCGAGCACACAATGAGGTGGAACTTCCTCACGGCACCATCCCACCTACCCCCAGCCTCCAGGGAGAGGAGAGAGGCTGAAGATGGGGTCGGAAAAACTTTTTTGGAGACGCGTGTGGCTGTGTCTCCTAGGCTGGCTGGAGTGCAGTGGCACAGGCACAACTCACTGAAATCTCAAACTGCTGGGCTCAATGCCCCTCCCACCTCAGTCTCCCCAGTAGCTGGGACTACAGGTGTGCACCACCACATCCAGCTAATTTTTAATTTTTTTTGTATAGATGGGGTCTCACCATCTTGCCCAGGCTGGTCTCAAACTCCTGAGCTCAAGCTGTCCTTCTGCCTCAGCCTCCCAAAGTGCTGGGTTACCAGTATACAGCCACCATGCCAGGCTTACAAATTGTTGAACAATGAGATGCAGAGAGCCTGGGTGCTGGCAGCACAGTGATATGCTGGAGGCAGTGCCCCTAAGTGAAGGTGTGGGTGCTCTGCACCCTGCTCCCCATACCCTGTCCTGTACATCTCTTCCATGGGGCTATTCCTGAGTTGTATCCTTTGTAATATGCTGATCATCATAAGTATAACCATTTCCTGGGTGTTTCGAGTGAATTACCCAGCCTGAGGGAGGTGGTCTTGGGATCCCTGTGTTTGTAGTGGGCCAGGAAGACCTGCAGCTGGCGTGGGAGGTGGGGCAGTCTCATGAGGTTGACCTTGACTCGTGGAGCCTGTGCTAACTCTGGGTAGTTAGTGGCAGGTGAAACTGATTGCTGGACAACAGTTAGTGTCAGAGAATTGGGGAATCGTTGTTGTTTGAAATAAACAAACAGGAACTGTTCAGCTCACAGAGCGATGGTGCAGGAGAAAAGGAAACAATTCCAGTCCTGCCTGCCCTTGACTTGTCACTTTTCGTGTCTGTAACTGATTTCTCCTCTGTGCTACAGATGGGGGATAAAGTTGATGGGTGAGGACCCCCAGCTGTTACTCACTCTGCTGGGGCTTCCCAAGGGGCCCCAGGCCTCCTGTTTAAATAACTATTTCTTGACTTTGATGCTCAAGAAGGGTCCTGAGAGGGAGGTTCTGGGTCCTCCAAGATACTGAAAATGGAGCAAAGGCAAGACCAAGAAGGAGGAAGTAGAGCCATGGAGGACCCCGAGGTCGCCCAAGCCTTACCTGCTCCACGCAGTCCGGGATCTCCGGCGCGCAGGGCAGTGTCCCCGCACTCTCCACCGACAGCACATCCTTCAGAAGTTCCTCACACCCTGCGCAGACAGGCACACGAACGGTGAAGGGTCAGACCTCAGCCTTGCATGGCTGTTCTGCTTCTGACTAACGGGCATGGGGCGGGAAGGGCTGAGGTGCGGGCCTGAGGCTTCAGGAGGCCAGCTGAGCACTGGAAGGCAGGGCTGGAGCCCAGGCGGTGTGGAACGCGGCTCTGGGCACTGTGGAGGGGGCTGTGACAGGCCCTTGCTCTCTGGGATTGACTCCCACACACAGAGGGCAGGCTGGGCCACAGGAGGGCAGGAGGCCTTCCTGGGGGAGGAGACCTAAGGCAGTGCTGCCCGCCTGGCTTGCAGGGACTCCAAACACACCCGTCCCTCTGAGGCTGGGTGCCCCCCACGTCCTGCAGACCCTGGGACGTCCAGGACAGGGCTGCCCGCAGGACAACTCCAGTTCCTGCTGACTCTGTACACGTCTGGCCTTGCTCCTGGGTGCCCCAGCAAATGCCCCAAGGTTGTTCTGAACCCGGGAGGGGGACCTGGCAAAGCGCCAGGCATAGGCACACGGAGGGTGCAGCCTGCAGTGGCCCACTGTCCACCGAATCCTTCCCGGGCGCCTTCTGCGTTCCGCGCCCCCTGCGCTGTGCATCCGTTTCCCTTCTCCCCTCACATCCCTGCATCCTTCCGCCCTCCCTGGACTCACAGGCACCCCACAGAAAACGGCCCACCTTGATCTGAGCCACAGACAGGAAGCCACGGCTTCCTTCACAGATAACCAGACACGCTGGGACTCCAGAAGTGACTGCATTCTCTACGCAGCTAGTGGGGAGGCCTTAGCAAGCCCACCCAGCTGGTGACCTGTGCCACTGTCTCAGATTTTTTTCTTTCTTGAGATAGCGTCTTACTCTGTCACCCAGGCTAGAGTGAAGTGGCGTGCACTCAGCTCACTGCAACCTCGACTTCCTGGGCTCAGGTGATCCTCCTGCCTCAGCCTCCCAAGTAGCTGGGACCACAGGTACACACCAGCATGCCCAGCTAATCTTTTGTATTTTTTGTAGAGATGGAGTTTTGCCATGTTGGCCAGGCTGGTCTTGAACTCCTGGACTCAAGCGATCGCTCGCCTCAGCCTCCCAAATTGCTGGGATTACAAGTGTGAGTCCCCATGCTCAGCCCCCACTGTCTCAGATAAACAGCTTAGTGGTAAGTGAGTGGCCATATTCTAATTCCTGCAAGTTTCTCACATAGGCCTTTTAATTTGGGACAAGACAGAGGGATTTATATTGTCCCCCTTAAAGCTGGAAGGGGGAGCAGGGAAGAAAGGCAGGAATTAGGAATAATTAAGAAGAGAGGGCAGGGCACGGAGGCTGATGCCTATAATCCCAGTACTTTGGGAGGCTGAGGCAGGAGGATCACTTGATCTCAGGAGTTCAAGACTAACATGGGCAATGTGACAAAATTCCATCTCTACTTAAAATACAAAAAACAGCCAGACATGGTGGTGTACCTCCTGTAGTCCCAGCTACTAGAAGGCTGAGGCAGGAGGATTGCTTGAGCCCAGGAGGTAGAGGCTGCAGGGAGCCATGATAGTGCCACTGCACTCCAGTAGCCTTGGCGACAGAGCCAGATCCTGTCTCAAAGGAAAAAGAAAAAGGGAGGCGGGAGGCGGGAGGCGGGAGGACACAAAAGCAGCTCAGAGGGAGGCGGCGGTCAGGTGACCAGCACTCTGTCTAGGTTTGCCTGGGACTGCCCTGGTATTAAAACTGGAGTCCCTCCCACATCCCAGGAGACTCCTTGGGTTTGATCACCCCAGAGCGGAAGAGACAGGAAGAGGCCAGAAAAGCAGGGAGGGAGGCTTTCTCCAGAGGCAGGCAGACAAGGGGAAGGGCAGAAGTGACTTCCACAGGTGACACCACAGCCCCCACGGCTGGGGCAACTGCATCCTTCCCTTCTGTCCCCCAGGGAGCCAGGGCAGAGCCTCCTTCCGGCCCATCCTGGGCTCTGGGACCCCTCCGGGGAGGAATCCAGGCTGGGACCCCAGTCACAGCAGCTTCCCCAGCTGGGCAGGACCTGAGAGCGCCTGGGAGAGCGCAGAAGACCTCACCTTTCATGGCGAACACCCCCCGGCAAAAGTCCTTGAAGTTGATTCTCCCCAGGTCGTTGGGATCCAAATATTTCACAAGTTTTTCCACCTGTGGGAAGGAAGCAGGGACAGGTGTGAGGCGCCCAAGGATCCCCTGAGGACTCAGGGAGCTGGGATGGGGAGGCTGGGAGTAGAGGAGGGACACCATGTCTCCGCCCAGTCCTCTCCCCCTCACCCTGGGGTCAGCATCAGCTGTGGAGCCACATTATTCTCCTCACTGCGACAGACAACTGGGGTGAGAAAAAGCAGAGCCAACACCGGCTCCTCCCCCAGCACACGGCTTCAGGGGCCAAACCGGCTTCCCACAGAGGCCGCACACCAAAAGCCAAGGCTCTGCCCATGTTTTAAAATTGGTTTCTTTTCTTTTTTTGAAGATGGGGTTTCACCATGATGGCCAGGCTGGTCTTGAACTCCTGACCTCAGGTGATCCACCCACCTGGGCCTCCCAAAGTGCTAGGATTGCAGCCGTGAGCCACTGCGCCCAGCTAAAATTGGTTTCTTTCACACGAAACGAACACAAACTCATTGCAAAAGACCTGGAAACCCCACCGTTTCTCATGTTCTATTTCTTGTTCTAGGCACTGGCTAGATGGGGAAAACTCACTAAGCTGGACGCTTGTGGCTATTGCACTTTTCTGTTCGATTTGTATCTTGCATGTCAATAAACGGTGCTAAATGAATAAGGAAGTAAGTTTCCCCCTGGCAGAGTCAGCCATCCCTGAGGTTGGGGAGTTTCTCTCCCATGTAACAAGTACAACAGAAACAGTTTTCCATGCTGCTTGGTGTGTACCACCCTCATTGTTAGTGGCTGTAACATATTCTGCCCAGTGGATTCATCATGATTTACCTAACCATCCCTAATAGTTGGGCATTTTGGTTATTTCCAGCTTTTTGCTTTTACAACTCGTCTTTTGGGGTTCTGGCAGCTGTGTGGATGACCCATCAACCCCGGCCTCTCAGATCCTTAATTTTCTTGTTGCCTCATATCCCACTTCAGGGGCCAAGTCCCTTGTTCAACCCAGTCATCACCCCTCCAATACCACCCACCTGAATGTCCTACTCCCTGACCCCATCTTCCCTTGCTGCCACTGCAGCGTTGCTCAACATCACTGGGTCTGCTCCCTGTCACTCACATCCAGTCCACGCACCTACTGCATCCCACAGCTCCCTCATTTTCCACACCACCCCAGGGACCCCACTGGTCATAGCCATCATCCTCTATCTCCTGGACCTCATGCAAGTCTAACTGGATCAAGTTATCCACTCCTCTGCTGAAAACCTTCCAGTATCATTCCACCACACTTAGGATGAAAATCCCAACTCCACAACATGGCCCACGAGGCCCCGTGTGATCTGACCCCCTCCACTCCCTCTCCTCCCATGCTCTTCATCACTCACCGTACTCTAGCCACACTAGCTTTTGGCCAGCTCCTCAAGCAAACCACCACATTCTTCTCTGCCACAGGGCCTTTGCACATGCTATTCTCGGTATCTTGAATAGCTGTCCTCCCCATTCATCATCTGGCAATGTCTGTCCATCCTTCAGTTCTCCCTTTGTACCTCTATTAAATGTCCCTCCCCCAGACAGGCCTGTCCTGACCACCCCCATCCAATCAGGGCCCACCCTGCTGCTACCCTGTCTTGTAGCACCCCTTTTTTTTTTTTTTTTTTTTGAGACGGAGTTTCGCTCTTGTTACCCAGGCTGGAGTGCAATGGCGCGATCTCGGGTCACCGCAACCTCCGCCTCCCGGGTTCAGACAATTCTCCTGCCTCAGTCTCCTGAGTAGCTAGAATTACAGGCACATGCCACCATGCCCAGCTAATTTTTTGTATTTTTAGTAGAGACAGGGTTTCACCATGTTGACCAGGATGGTCTCGATCTCTTGACCTCGTGATCCACCCGCCTCGGCCTCCCAAAATGCTGGGATTACAGGCTTGAGCCACCGCGCCCGGCCAACATCCTATACTTTCCCTTCAAACTATTTGTTATAACTTGCTATCATTAGCTAAAAAGAGATTGACATGGAGGTCAAAGGAAATAGCGTTTATTTGGGAAAGAGAAAATTGCAATCCAGGTAACTGGATCAGGACAGCCCAGAAGAGCATCCCAGGAGGGAAGTGCAGGAGAAAATGCTTTTTTTTTTTTTTTTTTGAGATGGAGTCTCGCTCTCTTGCCCAGGCTTTCAGTACAGTGGCGTGATCTCAGCTTATTGCAATCTCCACGAGCTTCGATTACAGGTGGGCGCCACCACGCCTGGCTAACTTTTGTATTTTTAGTAGACAGGAGGTTTCACTCTGTTGACCAGGCTGGTCTCCAACTCCTGACCTCAGGTGATACACCCACCTCGGCCTTCCAAAGTGCTTGGATTACAGGTGCCAGCCATCACACCCGGCCAGGAGAGGATTTTTTACGTGGGATTTCCACAAAAAGTTGTTTTCAGAGGCAGCTCACTGGCTGGGAAGAAATCCTAAATTGCAAAGCCTTTCTGCCTGGTTAGCTAATTAGGGTACTCCCAGCTGAGAAGTGTTGGAGCTGGCAGATCGTGACTTCAGTTGTGTATCCAAGTCTATTGGGATAGGGTGTGTTTTGAACTGCAGCCGGCGTAAATGCAGTCTTCCTGCCACCTCTCTGTCTCACTGCAGAAAGCCTTAGCCTTAGTGACTCCATTTTCTTTCATATAGTTGTATGCTTGTGTGATAATTTGAATAATTTATATCTTCTCTCTACAAAGGAAGCTCTGTAAGGGCAAGGGCCTGTCTGTTCTGATCACCACTACATACCTGGTTGCTTACACCATGACTGGTACATGGTAGAGGCTTCATAATCTTTGCTGACTAAATGAATATAAATGGTTGTATAAAACATCTACTTTTTTTTTTTTTTTTTTTTTTTGAGACAGAGTCTTACTCTGTCACCAGGCTGGAGTGCAATAGTGTGATTACAGCTCACTTCAACCTCCGCCTCCCAGGTTCTAGCAATTCTCCTGCCTCAGCCTCCCAAATAGCTGCTACTACAGGCACACGCCATCACGCCCAGCTAAATTTTGTAGTTTTAGTAGAGACGGAGTCTCGCGATGTTGGCCAGGATGGTCTCGAGCTCTCGACCTCGTGATCTGCCTGCCTCAGCCTCTCAAAGTGCTGGGATTATAGGAGTGAATCGCCATGCCCAGCCCCTATCTATCTTCTTAAGGCTCTTGATAACAGTTGCCAAATTGTCTTCTGTAAAGGTGTCTCAATTTAGTCTTCAATCAGAGGGACAGACTTCAAACTTGCCAGCCCTGGTTATTTTTCCCTTGTTTTTAGTAATGGTCAATTTTGTAAGAAGGATCTTTTGTAATTAATTGGAGCCATTTTTTCCCCTTGAAATTTCCAACACATGCATTTCAGCTTCTTGACATTTCTTCCAGAAGCTGCTTGTTTTCTTTTATTAAAAGACTTTTTTTTTTTTTTTTTTTTTTTTTTTTTTTCCAGGCGCATGGCCCAGGACTTTGGGAGGCCAAGGCGGGTGGATCACTGGAGGTCAGGAGTTGAGACCAGCCTGGCCAACGTGGCAAAAACCCCATCTCTACTAAAAATACAAAAATTAGCTGAGTGTGGTGGTAGGCGCCTGGAATCCCAGCTACTTGGTAGGCTGAGGCAGGAAAATCACTTGAACCCAGGAGGTGGAGGTTTCAGTAAGCCAAGATGGCACCACTGCACTCCAGCCTGGGCAACAGAGGGAGATTGAGGGAGAGCGAGATTTATTATTCTAAAAAGATAATTTGGCTGGGTGTGGTGGCTCACACCTGTGATCCCAGCACTTTGGAAGGTCAAGGCAGGCAGATCACCTGAGGTCAGAAGTTTGAGACCAGCCTGGGCAACATGTCAAAACTCCATCTCTACTAAAACAAAAAATTAGTGGGACATGGTGGCGCATGCCTGTAATCCCAGTTACTTGGGAGGCTGAGGCAGGAGAATTGCTCGTACCTGGGAGGCAGAGGTTGCAGTGAGCTGAGATCGCGTTACTGCACTCCGACATGGGTGACAGAGCAATGGTCTGTCTCAAAAAATAATAATTGACTGGGCATGGTGGGTCACACCTGTAATCTCAGCACTTGGGGAGGCTGAGGTGGGTGGATCACCTGAGGTCAGGAGTTCAAGACCAGCCTGGTCAACGTGATGAAACTCCGTCTCTACTAAAAATACAAAAATTAGCCAGCTGTGGTGGCGTGCACCTGTAGTCCCAGCTACTTGGGAGGCTGAGGCAAGAGAATTGCTTGAACTCGGGAGGCAGAGGTTGCAGTGATCCGAGATTGTGCCACTGCACTCCAGCCTGGGTGACAAGAGTGAAACTACGTCTCCAATAATAATAATATATGTATATTTTAGAGCCAGGTCCCCACGCTGTTGCCCAGTCTGGAGTGCAGTGCATGATCACAGATCACTGCAGCCTCAAATGCCCGGACTCAAGGGACCCGCCCACCTCAGCCTCCCAGTACCTGAGACTACAGGTGCACCACCACGCTTGGCTCAGAAGCCCACTTCTAAATCTGAAACTGCTTCTACAACTTAGTGGCAGCCCTCCCACAGCACCCCTGCATTCATTCATGTATTCACATATTCATTCGTGCATTCATTCACTTATTCAACAAGTGATGACTGAGCACCTCTTACATGCCGAGCACTCTGTCAGGGGCTGATGGTGGTAGCTGCTGGTTCCGCTGGCTAGCCACACATACACAATAGCACATACACTTGCGTACACGCTCACACTCCTCATCAGGCACCTTGCCGATCCCCCTAATAACTGCCATCAGTATCTATAGCACAGCCAGGCCAGGATGAGTTCTTTCCAGAATCCGCTCAGGCTGGGCTGCAGATGATGGATCTGAGGGCACCCGGGACCTGCAGAGCACAGCGTGCAGGAAGCAGTCCGTCAACTGTTGTGAGTGTTCACGCTGTTACGGGCAGACTTGCCAGCACACCACACCAAAGCCAAACCACGCTGGGGATTCATCTATTCATGGGGACCATGTTTTTCTTGCATGCCCACAGCATGGCAGCTGCAGC